CATATCACAGGATCTAAGCAGTTTGAAGGATTAAAGGAGTTACAAAAGAGGATGCCAGAGGAAACAACCAGGAACTGGTGTATGGTATGGAATGATGCCTCGTCCACAGTAAAGGGAGGCCATGGTTCCAGAGAAGGTTTTAGAGAAGGTATCAGTTTTGAGGGTCATGGGTCATGAATGTAAATGTGAATGGAGAATAAATTGCAGACGTATCTAAATTGGAGGAAAACAATCACATCAGAAAAAAGGGAAACAAAATATCAATGAGGCAAACAAAACAGACAAACCTTAATATGCTGACGGACAGACCTCTCTTTAATCTTATCCTTTTACGGTTTGCTATGGAGAACAACTTGTGACTTGTTCAAGTTCAACTAAATATGAATGAATATTCCAAATTACAGACTGTGTATATCTGATCAATAATGAATCTTCACATAGACTCAACTAGCACATGAACTTCAAAAGCTAAATAAACAGGGCAGTCACAAAGTTCTATGTAGTATTTAGTTTAGAACTACAAAAAAGCCTACACGACCAGTTCCTGATGTCTGATCATATGTTCTGTGAAGTGTTATAGGTCACCCACTTGAGTGTCCACGGCCTGAGTCTCAGATGAGTGGTATTTTTTGTTCATCTTAAAAGATATTGTTAGTTTGTGTCAGGGTCACTTGGATCCACTTCCAGCTCTTCATTCTCTTATGTGGATTCTTATCTCCACCTGGCCTGTCTTCCCTTCACATTTCTTGTTGGGTAGGTCTAAGGGGGCGGAGTTCTTTCAGGTTTTCTGTATGACTGGAAGTCTTCCCATTACCTTTATTTTTGAAGGATATTTTCTCTGGCTATAGAATTCAAGGTCTGTGACGTTTTTCTTTGGGCACTTTAAAGATGCTGGTTGACTATCTTCTTGAGCGCACTGTTTCCAACAAAAGGTCTGCTGTCATCCTCAACTTTGTGCCTCTGTAGATAATCTGCCCTTTTTCCTTCTTGCTTCATTTAGTATTTTCTCTTTATTATCGGTTTTGAGCAATACGATTATCATGTGCCTTAATGTAGTTTTCTTCATGTTTCTCCTACTCAGGGTTTGCTGAGCTTTCAGATATATGGGTTCATGGTTTTCATTAAATTTGAAAAAGCTGAGCGCGGTGGCTCACGCCTATAATCCCAACACTTCGGGAAGCCGAGGCAGGTGGATCACTTGAGGCCAGGAGTTCAAGACCAGCCTGGCCAACATGGTGAAAGCCCATCTCTACTAAAAATACAAAAATTAGCCAGGCGTGGTGGTACACGCCTGTAATCCCAGCTACTCAGGAGGCTGAGGCACGAGAATCGCTTGAACCCAGGAGGTGGAGTATGCAGTGAGCTGAGATTACACCACTGCACTCCAGCCTGGGTGACACAGCAAGACCCTGTCTCAAAAATAATAATAATAGATAGATTTGAAAACATTTGATCATGATTTCTGTATGTTTTTCGTCCCTCCTCTCTTCTGGGAACTCCAATTATATCGATATTAGGCCATCTGAAGTTGTCCCGCAGCTCACTGATTCTCTATTCATTCCTATGTCTTCACGTTCACTCATCTTTTCTTCTACAGTGTCTGTCACCAATTTCATCTAGTATATTTCATCTGAGATATAGATTTCATTTCCTAAAGTTTCATTTTGTAAAGATCTTTTACAAAATCTTCCATGTCTTGATTTAACTTTTGCACATATAAAATACAGTTCTAACAACTATTTTAATGCCATTGCTAATTCTAAGGTCTGTATCAGTTCTGAGTCAGTGGTTTTGATGGCTTCATTTCTTTCCTCATTATGGGCCATATTTATATGTATTCATTTATTCACAGTATTCATTTATTGGATGGCAGATATTGTGAATTTTACCTTGTTGGATGCCAGATATTTTTATATTCCTATAAATACAGTTGAGTTTTGTTCTAGGATACAGTGACTTAGAAATAGTGTGATCCATTTGGGGCTTGCTTTTAGGGTGAGACCAGAGCCATGTTAAGTCTACGGCTAATTATTCCCCACCACTGAGGCAAAATCCTCCTGAGTCCTTCAACCAAAGCCTATGAATTATGGGGTTTTCAATTCTCACAGCTGCTGTGAACAGATCCTACTCCCAGCCTTGTGTGAGCACCAAACACTGTTTCCTCAATCATTTCGGTGTTCTTTCCCCAGGCTTGGTAGCTTCCTCACGACTCCTCGAACTGAGACAGCCTGCTGGCTACACCTGGGCTCCCCTTGTGATGCCCAACCCGAAACTCTGTTCAGGGAGAAGGTGGGTAATCACAAGGCTCAACTCACTTGGTTCCTGTTTCTCATAGATCAGTATCCTTCACAGCCTGATACCCTGATTGGCAGCTGTTAGTATACAGGTAGGGTTTACTGATTACAAGCTTCACTGTAATATAATCTGCCTGGACCATTTCACTGGGCCCTAACAGTAGTATTTTTAGGTTTCATCTCTTGGGCTGAACAGATTTCCCTAAGAAGAAACATCCTATCTATTGCTTAGAGAGCACACGCCTGGCTGATAGGCTTCTTTACTCTGTGGCTGAAGGCACTGCAGGCAGTCTGAAGACACACTACAATGAAAAGTGTAGGTACCTCTGCGGTAACGCAGCATGAAAAAAAAAAAGAAAAGTACAGGTAGCTCATATTACAAAGGGCTGATTTCTGAAATATAAAGAGCTTCTATAAATCAAAGAAAAAAAAATCTATGCAATTCAAGAGAAAAACAGGCCTCCCAAAATGAACACATGATTTAAATAAAAATATAGATGGCTCTTTTCTTAAAAGAAAATTAAAAGCATACTCAACAATATTTTACTATATACATTATAGGCCAGGGGCGGTGGCTCAGACTGTAATCCCAGCAATTTGGCAGGGTGAGGCGGGTGGATCACTTGAGGTCAGGAGTTCAAGACCAGCCTGGTCAATATGGTGAAACCCCCGCCTTTACTAAAAATACAAAAATTAGCCAGGTGTGGTAGTGCATACCTATAATCCCACTTACTTGCCAGGCTGAGGCATGAGTATCGCTTGAACCTGGGAGGCAGAGATTGCAGTGAGCCGAGATTACTACAATCCAGCCTTGGAGACAGAGTGAGACTCTGTCTCTAAATAAATAAATAAATAAATAAAATAATTTATATATTACGGTGCCCTTGTGTAATAAAGAAACCAATGTATAAAAAAAGTATTTTAATATGAAAAATATAAATTCAAATCACCTTGATATATCATCACCTGTCTTACTGGCACAGATTCAGTTATTTGACAAAAGCTGATTTCTGAAATATAAACAGCTTTTATAAATCAAAGAGAAAAAAATCTATGCAATTCAATGGAAAAACAGGCCCCCCAAAATGAACACATGATTTAAATAAAAATATAGATGGCTCTTTTCTTAAAAAATAAAATAAAATAAAAACATACTCTGACAAAGCTTAAAATAACTGATTGAGCATACTTGCTTGCTTTTACTAGTCCACTAAAACAGTAATGAAGAGTTTTAAACTTCTTTGTCTAACAGCCAAGGAGAAAAGGAGATAAAATAACAGTAAACACTGTTGGAATTCATGAAGCAGATGAATGAGTAGTGACTTTGCAGACCCAAAAAGTCTGATTCTTAGGCTAGAAATTGAGAAAACCAAGAAGCAACCAGTTTATACTATGGAGCTCCCCCAAGAACTTCGGAACCGGCCATCGTGGTTATCCCTGAAAGTAAAGTTGACCAAGATGACTGCTTGAAAGTCAATTTTCAGAAAGTCAGACACTGGATTATCCAATACTGTGTTAACAAATCACTCCCAAACTGAGTGGCTTAAAACAGCAATTGTTATCTCACTGTTTCTGTGGATCATGAATTCAGAAGTGACTTGATTGGGTAGCTCAGGGTCAGACATCAGCTGAGACTGCACTCATCTGAAAGCTTGACAGGAGCTTGCCGTCACTTCGAAGGCGGCTCACTCCCAAGGCTTACAGGTTGCAGGCTGGGTATTGGCAGGAGGCCTCAGTTCCTCCCTGTGTAGGCCTCTCTCAGAGCTGAGTGTCCACACAGAATGATGCCTGGCTTCCCCCAGAGTGAGTGATCCCAGAGACCATGGTGAAAGCTGCAAAGCTGTTTATAATGTAGACTTGGAAATCACTTTTGCCATATCCTATTTGTCACACAGATCAGCCCTGATGTGTTGCGGGAGGGGATTGGCCCCAAGGTGAGGAACCCCAGGCAGTGAGAATCACTGGGGGCCATTTGGGATGATGGCTACCTCAGATGTGGAGCTCTCCTCTCCACCCCATCTCCTACTCTGAATAATCATGTGACTTTCCCGTCACCTTCCTAACAGAAGATTCCAAGTCTATTATCTGGAAAGACCCAAAACACAGTTTCTCAACTGTGGTACCCCATTGTTGAGGGTGAGGAATTATAATAAAAACAAGGAGGTACGCAAACATCTTTTCCTCAGTAATCTGAAGTGTTTCCTTTATCATATGCTAAACTGCTTTATGTACTTGGGTTTATTTATGAGTTTACTAACTTGTTTCATTAATCTATCTAGGTCGCTATGATGTTTTATTATTAAAGTTTATATCCATTAGGGACTATCTCTTATCACTCTTCTTTTTTGGCAACTGTATTCTGAAATCGTGGCTACATGCAAACAATTCTGAAGCTCCAAATTTCTAAAGAATTATAACACAGTGGGTTTCTTGGGAGAGACTGAAAATATTCAGATACCAGAAAGCTCACTATTCCATTAATAAGAAAATCGTAAGTATTCATGAACATATAAGAAGTATGAAATTGTGCCCAATTAATTAATTGGTAGTAAAGTCCTTTTCCCTTAAGAGAACTATAGTCTAGTTACATAAAGGAGATATACAACCAGAGAACACAAGTTAACGGTTTCTGCAATGGCTTTACAAACAGCGACTGACATCTAATATTTGACAAAATATTTTGCTTCAAAATAAATATCTTCTTACTTGTAACAAAAGCAGCTGGAGAAGATGATCATAGCAATTATGCAGACAGCCATAGAAATGAGCAAAACCAGCCATCGAATGCTGCCATCAAAAAATGGACCTGACAATAAAAGTAAACAATGAAATAAACAATGAAATGAAAAAATAATCTGAAGTGTTCAATTCTAGGTAGCTTGGTAAAACCAGAGAAGATATTTGAGAAGCATGCTCCGACTTTTCTCGGCTAACCTACCTATGACAACAGGGGGCAGTGTGGGTTGCAAATACTGGTTACATAAATTGGTCCGACAACATTCTATTGTCCGGCGTAGCTGGGCTTTTGGAGAATCCTAAAAGAAGAGTAATGATTAAAATTAGAAATTGTTTGGTATTTTAAACTGATGATACATCATTTTAGTATTCATAAAATACAATTTCTAATTCAGTGAGTGAAAGGGGCCTGCAAATTTTATATGTAAAAACGGATTACTGAAAGACTAAAATTTGTGCTGAAATAGTGAAGACTGCAAAATGGCTTTTCTTAAGAACATATCTATGTGGATGGTGTGTTAGACACTAGATTAGAATACCAAACCCGAACTTAGGTAATTAAAATTATAAACTGGTCTGGTACATATAATCTCACTGTGGTACTGAGATGTGGATGAGATTTAAGATCAGACTAAAAAGTGGGGGGTGTCTTAGTCCAAAGAAAAGGCTGGTTAGCAAGGCAGCTGAGCGTGCAGAGGCCGCTGCAGACCCTGTCTACCCCAGCCATGTCGAAAGTCATGAGCCTGATGCGGAGGCAAGTTGACCATCTGTGGTGAGGGAAGGGCAAACTACAGGAAGCATTCCTGAGAGATGATTACAGATCACCAGCCAGAGAGGAGACTGTCCCTAAGAGAGCAGAAAGCCAGCACAGAGAAGGGCAGCAGCACTTACATATGATGTTTTATTGTGTTAACAATATAATATCTGACAAGTTGAATGCTGCCATTTCAGCACAGCCTGGGGAGAACTGCCATTCTGGACCAACATGTGAATAGCAAAGAACTGTTTGTCACTACGGAAGTCACAAGAATGTAAGCAGAAATTAAGGAAAAGCCTCAGTATAATCAGCTATGACTTTAAAAAGGTAAACATGAGCCCATGACTTCAGATTCTGTTGGGAAGATGGTCAAGAGCATTTGGAAATCTCCAAATACATATTTTATATTTTAAATGAAGTTTTATTAATAACTTTTACACAATTTTTACTTTTAAATGACCATAAGGAGAGAGAGAAAAAAGTTAGGCTTAAACTGGACAGTCTGAAATAATCCCAGATTCAGAGAAAACTTACATGAAGGAGGAAATGAAAATCATATAACTAACTATGAATGAAAGAAGTGCCAAGCATCCAAGAGGGTTCCAGGAAAGCTAAAATGAGCTTGGCCTTGCAGAAGAGAAAAGTGCAAAGAAAAACCAAGAAAGAGTTTCTCTGGCAGCATGGGGTTTCTCCAAGCAACAGATGTACTGCTGACATGACAGTGGATGATGAGGACAAACATGAACAATTCTTCAAGTCCTGTCTTGTTTCTTCTTCTCTATGAAGGATGCTGACAGGGATGATGAAGGTAGCTCAAACACTACCAAGTGGGAAATGACATCCCAAATGTATGAAGAGATCTTACGATGCTTTTGTATTCTACATGAGTTCCTATCTTCTAAGCTAGGCGAATTATATCCCAGGAAGATGAGAGCCCTTGTAAGAGAGATGGCTGAAAGACAGATGAAATTTAAAGACTTTAGAAAGATGGAGCGTTGGAAACTATGATAGATAACTGAATGTTATATTTTTATATAAATACATATATGTTTACATGTATATGTTATATATGTCCCTTTTCTTTAAAAGGGAAAGAAAGTAGACTTTAAACTGTGTGTGGTGGTGTGTGCCTACAATCCCAGCTACTTAGGAGGCTGAGGCATGAGGATCACTTGAAGCTAGGACTTCAAGTCCAGCCTGGGCAATGTAGTGAGACTCTATCTCTAAAAATAATAATTTTTAAAAAGAAGCCAAAAATAGACTCTGCCAACAGATTAAGGCAGCATAGTATTACAGAAAATACAAGGGTTTTGGAATCAAACAGTTTGAATCCTAGCTTTCCCAGTTGTTCACTTTGTGCCCTTGAGCAAGTAATTTATCTCTGGGCTTTAGTGTGCTAAAAAATACAGGTTAAAAAAAATATCAGCTGGGCACAGTGGCTCACACCTGTAATCCTAGCACTTTGGGAAGCTGAAGCAGCAGAATGGCTTGAGCAGAGGAGTTTGAGACCAGGCTGGGCAACATAGTGAGACCCCATCTCTAAAAAAAACTTTTAAATCAACCAGGTGTGGTGGTGCGTGCCTGTGGTCCCAGCTACTCAGAAGACTGAAGTGGGAGGGTCACTTGAGCCCAGGAGGTTGAGGCTGCAGCGAGTTGTGATTGCGCCACTGCACTCCAGCCTGGGCGATGGAGCAATACCCTGTCTTTAAAACAAAAACAAATCTGCTCTATTGAGTAGTTGGAGAGAATCAAGGTAGAATATACTGGCTCCCCAGGATACTATACACATATAGCAAATATTCAATAAATTATTTTCCCTTCCTCTGTGCTTGACATGAATCCCAGATGAGATTCTAGACTAAGCCAAAAAACTTATAAGCCCCTAAAGACCCAACATGGCTTCACTAAGAATAAGCAACACCTGACTCATCTCACGTCTGTCTTACTCAGGTTAACGATGTATCTCAGTCGGCAAAAACTGGGTTTCTCGAGGTTACGAATTTGGGTGACACAGCCTTTCCTTTCCCTGCACTCTCCACCCCTACCCTCTGCCAGTCAATTTGTATTTCTAGATTTATGTGGAGAATATGAATTTTTGTGGGAAACAAATTTACTCGGCACTTATGAAGTAAGAGATTCTGACTTAAATAAACTTAATCAGTGTGCTCAAACTGGAGACAGTGTATGAGGAAGGAACTGAAGCCAAGTTACAAGGAATGGCAGCGAGGTTTCTGAAAAATAATTTGTCCTACAGGAGGAAACAGAATAAGCACAATTTACCAGTGCGGCCTGGGGAGTGGAAGAACGTGAGGCCTGGTGAGAGACACTCACATCTGTTCTGCGCCACACCTGGCAGTGCGTGACGGCACTGGGGAAAGGGTTAGGATGAGCATGAGAGAGCTGTGCTTGGGTGAGGTGCTGTGCTTGGGTGACATTCACCAAGAAATACAGAAAGTTAGATAAGTGCTGGTCAAAATTTTTGCTGGCATAACCCAATTCTTAAAAGCAACGTATCCTTCACATATTTTTCAGGTGACACTTAAAAATTTTCACCAAAAATTTAAATGGTTGCAATATATTAACAATTTCTGGCTTACTGTACATAATGATACTTTGAAATAGAATTGTTACCTCATTTTGAAATAGAAGTGTTACATCATTTTTAATGCATTCAGTAGAATCTAAATAGCATGCAATTTGATACCCATTATCATCATTTTAAAGAATAAATGAACAAATGCTTCATTTAGCAATGAGAAATTTTACACTACAACTCTTACTTCTCTTTGAACTCTTATTTCCTTTCAATATCTCCCACAATAATTATGTCCTAAAGTAATATATAACTGTCCACATCAAAGATAAGTACATAAAAATTCTTTTATTTCCTATAACTGTATGTCTTTAAGTCTTAGAAAATTATTCTAGTTTATCATAATCATTAGCATAAAATTGATCAAAAATATATATGTTACAATCTTTATTAAATACAAACTTAAGAAAATGTTATTGGAAAAGGCATTTTTTCTTTTTCTTTTTTTTTTTTATGATACAAGATCTGGCTGGCTATCACTCTGCACACTAGAGTGGAGTTGCATGATCTCAGCTTACTACGACCTCTGCCTCCCGAGCTCAAGTCATTCCTCCCACCTCAGCCTTTTTTTTTTTTTTTTTTTTTTTTTTTTGAGACGGAGTCTCACTCTGTCACCCAGGCTAGAGTGCAGTGGTGCTATCTCGGCTCACTGCAACCTCCACCTCCCAGGTTCAAACGATTCTCCTGCCTCAGCCTCCCAAGTAGCTGGGATTACAGGAGTGTGCCACCATGCCCGGCTAATTTTTGTATTTTTAGTAGAGACAGGGTTTCCACGTTGGCCAGGCTATTCTGAAACTCCTGACCTCCGGTGATCCGCCTGCCTCAGCCTCCCAAAGGGCTAGAATTACAGGCGTGAGCCACCAGGCCCAGCTAATTTTTATAGAGATGTGGTTCTGCCATGTTGCCCAGGCTGGTCTCAAACTTGTGAGCTCAAGCGATCTGCCCGCCTCGGCCTCCCAAAGTGCTGGGATTACAGGCATGAACCACTGCACCTGGCCAGGCATTTCTTAATCATATGGATGGGTCTTTAAAAAAAAAATCAGTTCACGAATTCATGGATAAATATTACTTACTGCTAGAGTGAGAAGATTCATCATTAATTTTATTCTTATTTTTCCTTTTGTCGTCATCAAGACAATTTATTCACATAAGCAAGATGATAATAATGGAAGGAAATTATTATACCATTGTCCCATAATTTTCTTTTGAGATGGAGTTTCACTCTTGTTGCCCAGGTTGGAGTGTAACGGCACGACTTCAGCTCACTGCAACCTCTACCTCCCGTGTTTAAGCAATTCTCCTGTCTCAGTCTCCCAAGTAGCTGGGATTAAAGGCACACGCCACCACGCCCAGCTACGTTTTGTATTTTCAGTAGAGACAGGTGTCGCCATGTTGATGAGGCTGGTCTCTAAATCCTGACCTCAGTTGATCCACCTGCCTCGGCCTCCCGAGGTGCTGGGATTACAGGCTTAGGCCACCGCACCACCTCAATCAGCCCATAATTGTTTAAAGTCCTTCCAAAGCATATGCTAAAAGTGCTATAAAGATCCTATCAACAAAAATTATTTTCAATGATCCAGCAACTTGGTTGAAAGCAAACAATTGAAAACCATCTGTCATGTAAATACTTACTTGATATTCCCACATAGCCTACACTGATGCCTTTACTTCGAATTATAACACCGTCTGGAAACCTCAAGTTTTACACCTCAGGCCTTCTATTTGTAAACTAGGAGGGGTTGACTATGAAAAGTGACTAAGGGAAAGAGAACTGCTTGAGAAGTTCTGTTCTCAGGCAGAGAAATATTCAGCAACAGGACCTATGGAAGTTTAGGATCCAAAAACTGATTCCCTTAAAACCATCAACGTGCCCGTTACCCTTGTATAACACAGTCTGAGTTACACTGTGTTTAACAGAGCATGAAGACTGCTCTGTTAAAGAATCAATATGGTCAAAGCTAACATCTATTAAGCCCTTACTATGTGCCAATTGTGCTAAACTATTCACATACATATAATTTGACCCTTATAGTAATTCCTTCATTTCTTTGGGAGAGAACAAGAAAGCAGAGCACTTTGTCCAAAGGTTCACAGCAGTATATAGATTTGAACAGCTTGTCAAGTTTAACAACTAACTTATAATGGTGAATTCAGTTTAGGACAGGCCTACTCTAGGGGCCTGCTGAACACTGGTTATTACTGCTGGGCTCAGTACCCTAACCATAGCTCTTTCTTCAATTTTTTAAGTGATTAAAAAATGTATAGTATGTGTGGTTGACAAATATGCAAACAGCCTAAAACTGGAAGAAACAACTAAATTAGCATCCTTTAAATCCTGACCAATTAGAGCAAAGGATTAATGCTTGTAAGATAAAATTCATATAGACAAGTATGTAACAACTGTATAGGAAAATCTCATTCCATTCCCATCTAGTTATTTGTGTGAAGAAACCAACAGCACCAAAGAAGAGTGGAGGAGATGTGGCTCAGCAGCAGCATGAGTAAGTGACATGGGGATTTCAGCTTACAGAAGGCTCAGTGGTTCAAGAATATGGCGTGACTGCCAAACATCTAACACGAGACTGTGTTTAGAAAAAGGGAACAGGACTATTTATTCTCTACTTTTTTCCTTGGTCATACCACACTCAATTCTGCGTATTACACTGAGGAAGTGGAGAGTGAATAACTCTAAAGCTGATCATATAAGGAGCAGTTGAGGTCACTATGAACTATTACTTTCACTGGGTAAAGACTAGCAGGATGAAGCACTTTTTTTTTAGTTAGTAAAAGGCTATCATCTTAAAAAGAGATTAGGTTTGTTCTCTATGGTCCGAAGAGTCAGACAGGAAGACAGATTTGCAGTCATTTACAAAGAGGGTGATTCCAAACATTAGCTGAGAGGTTGAAACATATAACCTTTAAGGTTTCTATCCATCCTGAGAATTTCTTTTCCTTTTTTTTTTTTTTTTTTTTTTTTTTGGGAGACGGAGTCTCACTCTGTCGCCCAGGCTGGAGTGCAGTGGCGTGATCTCGGCTCACTGCAAGCTCCACCTCCCGGATTCACACCATTGTCCTCCTGCCTCAGCCTCCCAAGTAGCGAGGACTACAGGTGCCCACCACCACACCCAGCTAATTTTTTGTATTTTTAGTAGAGACGGGGTTTCACCGTGTTAGCCAGGATGGTCTCCATCTCCTGACCTCGTGATCCGCCCGCCTCGGCCTCCCAAAGTGCTGGGATTACAGGCGCGAGCCACAGCACCCAGCCCCCATCCTGAGAATTTCCAAACAATAGGAACAATTTCCTAACATAGCTAAGACTTAAATTATGCACAAACAATTCTATCTGGAGCTGGTTTTCAGAAACATTGGAAGATCTCTTGGGACAAAATTACTGTACAGAATTTGAAGAGATCAGGTTTACAACCCAGAGCCATCAGGATGCTCATGAACTATTACCACCCTGATTCCTTCGTTGCTGCTTTGTTAAAGCAGCTCCACTGACACCTCCTTACAAGGCCTTAACATTTTTTTTTCAACTTTAGAGGTTGCCCTAGAGTTTGCAGTATATCTTTAACATTTCTAAGTTGCCTCAGAGTGATACAAAGGTTACTGCCACTATCTTAAAAGTCTTTTCAATAAATTTTATAATCTACAAATAAGTGTGACAATATAATTTTTTTGCAGTCATGACAACCTAGGATGATTTAAAACATTTTACTTTTTTAAAGTAAAATAATCTGGAACTTAAATTACCATAATCATATTACTTGAATAAAATTTTTATTTTTAAAGAAATGTTAGCTGCAATTATTGTGATAAGAAAGTTTAGAAACTTGTCTTCATTGAAAATTGTAATCAGTAGCCAGAGACAGTTGAAATTTAAAAAAAGAAAAAAAAATTTTTTTTTTTTTGTTTTTGAGACAGGGTCTTGCTCTGTGGCCCAGGCTGGAGTGCCGTGGAACGATCTCAGCTCACTGTAACCTCGGCCTCCCAGGCTTAAGCAATTCTTCTGCCTCAGCCTCCCAAGTAGAGAACAAAGAAAATTGTAATCAGGTTGGGCACAGTGGCTCACACCTGTAATCCCAGCACTTTGGGGGGCCAATGTGGGCAGATTGCTTGGGCCCAGGAGTTTGAGACCAGCCTGGGCAACATGGCGAAACCTGGTCTCTACAAAAAATACAAAAATTAGCCAGGTATAGTGGCATGCACCTGTAGTCTCAGCTATCCGGGAGGCTGGCTTGAGGTTGCAGTGAGCAGAGATCGCAGCACTGCACTCCAGCCTGGGCAACAGAGCCAGGTGCTGTCTATGGAAATAAAAAAGGAAAAAAAGGAAATTGTAATCAAACAATTAGCTTTTCAGAAATGATTTAGTTATAAACTCTACATATGAATACAGGACAGAATCTAGACAGAACGTATTCCTCCAACATATTTACTGACATGAACATACAACCATGTGTACGTCAGGCATGTTTCTCCCAGGGGGAAATTGATGCTTTTGTGTGGCCCCTCCCTTCTTTGTCTCATGGGTCCCAAATTATATCTTACTTTGCACTGAAAATCAGATCCTTCATATTTCATACACCCTGAAGCTAATGTGGTTTCTCCCTGGTCATCTTCTTCTATGATGGCAAAGCAATGTCCATTAGTTCTAAAACAGAAAAAAAAAACAAAACAAAACATAAATTCACATAGAAAGTACTAATGAAATTTGAGTCTGAATGTGAACAGGTACAGACAGCCTTTAATACTTTGTTTTGTGATTCAGAATTGCATTCACATGTGATTTACTGGTAAAGCCAAAGCGGTTTCAAGACAAATGAAAGTTATGTCTGAGCTAAGATCTAAAAGGCCAGTGACAACCCTTTGTCAAGCAGAAAAGGATTTCGATTAAACAAGTCCTCCACATGGGAGTTATGTGACTTTTCTTTGCTAATCACAGTCATGTAATCACAGAAAGCTGATTTATACAATTTTATAAGGTAAGTCATGTTTTGAAAATATACTTTAAAATAACTTTGTCTCTTTTTACCCATTTTTTCAGTACTCTCATATTGTATATGCTCACAGATAAAAACTTTTCTCTGAAATATACAGATAGGCTTAATGACCCAAAAAAGGAGGACTGAAAGGCACCTTTTACTGAATATGATGGGAAAACAGGGAGAGGACTTTTGAATAAATTTTCAATAAATTTACATACATATATTTAATGAAATTCTTATCTTAGTGTTAGCATCCTGGAATTTCCCCTTAATATATTCATATAGACTTCAACAGGTCTGGGAGAAATTTCTAAAAGCTTTTTCTGCGCTCCTATTTATTGTTAATATCAGGAATTGTGCTGCTTCTACTTAGAAGAATTTTGCAGAATTCTTTGTTTTCTGTCAGGAGAAAATGTTACGTGTGGGGCAGAATTCTGCTAAAATGGATGACTCAGTTTTACTCTGGGTTACTAAACTACTAACAGACAGCCCATTATATCAGGCAGGTACTACAGACAAGAAGTTTAGCAAAAGATTATTTGGTGACACAGCGGAGAGCAGTTCCCTGCTGGCAAACTCCCAGGAAGGTGTAAATGGAAAACTAGTCACAGTCAGCCACACAGAGTCCACCACCACCAGGGGACAAGCAGCACACCTAAGACACGATGACCATCACATAGGTTCAAGAGTTTACGTGTAAAGTTTCATGCTTTCTATCTGGTCCATTCAAGGAGCATACAATTATTAAAAGTACAAAACATGACATTCGTTACTGCCTCTATAACAAGGAGACAATTAATTCAGGTTGAGTTGTTCAGGCAATTTTTTTTTTGGTCTTATTAAGTCAATATGTCAGTGTTTCCAACAAATATGGACTAGAATTACATAATCATATATAAACATGTTGTGTAGTTAACATGAAATACAGTAGAAAAATTATAAATCAGATTTGGATTGGTAAATTCACAGGTAAGAAAAAAGTTTAAAATTAATTAACACAATATGATTAATATATATCCACAGAATATTTCAACCAATTAAAAAGTAGGAGACCAGGTGTGGCAGTTCACACTAGTAATCCCAGCACTTTGGGAAGCTGAGGTGGAAGGATTGCTTGAGCCCAGGAGTTTGAGACCAGCCTGGGCAAAATAGCAAGACCCTGTCTATAGAAGAAGTAGGAGGTTGTCGGTGAGTTTTTTGATTTTTTTTTGGTAATCTCTAAGTTTTCTAAAATGACTTCAAGAGTAAAAGATCATTAAAAAACTCAGATGTTAAAAAAAATACTAGATCCCTTTGAAATTATTTTAAAAGCTGCATTATAACATAATTCTAATATAGTAACTCACCTATCAATCATTTAATGGAGTAATGTTCTAATACACAAAACACAAGGCTTTTTGGCTTTCTGGAAAGATACCATATATGAAGGGAAAAAAAAAAAAAAACCTTAGACAAGCTTAATAATTCTTAAAATAGCACTAAATGCAACTCTATTCTCCTAACTCTTAAGAAGGGCTGCATAAAATACTTACATGCATGTGTTATTAATAGCATCATCCGGGCAGTGCCCTGAGCAATAGCACTTTAAAAAAGGCAAGGTATCCTCTGGTGCTAAGGTTACTCCATTTTCTGACTTTTTCTGGTCGGAGTCTGATTTCATCCCAGTGCCATGGAGCATACTGTCTAGATTCTGTCCTGCATTCAAATATGGAATTTGTAAGTAAATCATTTCTGAAAAGCTCATTGTTTGATTACAATTTTCAATGAGAAAAAGTTGCTAAGCTTTCTTATCACAATAATTGTAGCTAACATGTTTCTTTAGAAATATAAATTTCATTCATACAACAAACAGACATTTCTTAATAAGTTACTATGCACAGAATTACTGCACCAGGTATTGTGGGGTATATGAAGACAGCTATATCATAATTTTTGCACTAGTGAAAGACAAACAAGAGTGGTACAAGGCAGAATACAGTCAAATCTTGTTTTTTATATTTTTAAAATAACTTAAAAATTTTTTAATTTAACCAGGGGAAAGCATGAACACAGTCCCTCACTATCACAATTATGCAGTTGAGTTTCCCATGTTTGGGGAAATCACAGGGGTCAGCACATCTGGAGTGCAATGAATAAGCCTCGCCCTGGGAAAACCACCTTCGTGACCCTGGTCTCTCCCTTGTCAGGTTAAAGTATACAGTCATCACTTGTAAGAAAGGTACAAAATGGGGAGAGACTTCAGAGAAGTCTGTGAGAGTTTCCAACCATTAAATAGAGACAAGTTATGATTCTTCTTTTAACTCTTTGGTTCAAAACTTGTGACTAGCTTTCCTTTATTTGCGCCTCTATGTGGAAAAGGAGTTACTAAGCATCTTGCTTTGGCCTTTAATTGTTTAAGTAAGGAAATCATGAGAGCACAGGGACCAATCATGTTATCTGGAGACTTTTACCTCAAGGTCATTGGTTTGAATGCAGACCAGGGTGGCAGAAAGTGAAGGTTATAGAAGGGCAGCAGTTAGCTCACAGAAATGGAACTATATTCTTACACGAGAGCCTAGTAGCCTGCAGTGACAGATACTGTCATATGTGGTACTAAATCTTTCAGGTTGGAAGCAGAACAGTACTAAAAAGACTGTTCTAGTAATTACTTCCTCTCTCTGACTCAGCTAGGCCATTCTTTGTGGGTTACTCTCAAGGGAATAAAAGGTAGAACCAAGCAGACAAGTGTATATGTATTTCATTATAAATGTTAAATAAGTGGTTCAAGACACAACACAGACTTGACATTACATTTAACATACTGATAAGATAAACTACTGAAAAGACAAAAAATATCACATATGCACACACTGATAACAGAAAAAGCACTGCTAAATAGTATTTTGGTGATTCCACGCCTTCAGTTTTAATAATCTTCACTTTTTTTTTTTTTCTTTTTTTTTGGAGACATGGTCTCACTCTATTGCCCAGGCTGGAGTACAGTGATGTGATCATAGCTTACTGCAGCCTCAACTTCCCAGGCTCAAGTGATCCTCCCACCTCAGCCTCTAGAGTAGCTGGGACCAAGGGCACATGCCACCAGGCCTGGCTAATTTTTAAATTCTTTATAGGGACAAGGTCTCCCTATATTGCTCAGGTTGGTCTTGAACTCCTGGGCTCAAGTGATCCTCCCGCCTCAACCTTCCAAAGTGCTGGGAATACAGGCGCGAGCTACCATACCTGGCCAATAACCTTCACTTTCTTATGCTGAATATTTAGTAAAGGAATTTGCTACTGAATGACTATATATTAACAAACAACAGGAGAGAAAACTTTTTTTTTTTTTTTTTTTTTTTTTTGAGATAGAGTCTCCTCTGTCACCCAGGCTGGGGTGCAGTGGCGCAATCTTGGCTCACTGCAACCTCTGCCTCCCAGGTTCAAGCGATTCTCCTGCCTCAGCCTCCCGAGTAGCTGGGATTACAGGCACCCCCCCACCATGCCTGGCTAATTTTTTTGTATTTTGTTGGTAGAGACGGGGTTTCACCATGTTGGCCAGGCTGGTCTCAAACTCCTGACCTCAAGTGATCCACCTGCCTCAGTCTCCCAAAGTGCTGGGATTATAGGCGTGAGCCACTGTGTCCGGCCAGGAGAGAAAACACTTAAAAAAAAAAAAAGATGAAGTTTGCATACATACATATATTACTCATCCCTGTGCCTCCTCCCCCTCCCCACACTCTCCTTTCAGAAATAAATTCCGTAATATAATGTCAAGGCTTCCATTGCACCTGATAGCGACAAAGCAGAAAGATCTCATTTATGTTAGAAACATCAACTGTAAAAGATGGGGTGGGCGGAAGCAGGAGGTACAGGAAGGGAAGAAATCCACTGAGCAGGGAATGAGGAGACTGGGATTCTGTTTTACTGTGGGCCTACTCCGCTTTACCTAGCTGGATGGTCTTGGGCAAGCCATGCCACTTGTCCAGGCTTCATTTACCCTATAAGGCTATAGGAGTAGAGGACAGGTGAGGTCACCTAACCAGCTTTAAAATCCTATTACATTAACAGAAGACACTTATCAATTCAGCTCTGGAGAACAAACAATATAATATATCACACCAATTAATTTTTCAAAAATCTAGTGACACAAAAAAAGCAGTTTAGTGTGGCAGAAATGTCACTTAACAGCAAGAAGTGAAGGATTCAAGTCCCAGTTATGGGCACAGATAAGTTACTCTCTGAACCTCAGCTCTCTATCTATAGAAAATGGTGATAATAATTCCTGCCTAATTCAAATCAAGAGATTATAGGTAGATCAAATGAATATCTACTAAAGTGCTTAACTACGTGTAAAACAGTATACAAATAAGATGTTACTAATAACAAAGATCGTAACACTAAAAGATCACTGATACATGAAAAACTCAAAGTTATATGAAACTTCCTAGAATACAATTTGAATTTACGAGACAAAAAACTCAATTACAATAGTTGTATCTGGAGCTTATATTATTGCCAAATTTTCAACAGAATACTTATTAGGGGTCTATTATGTGCAGGCAGGTATTAAATGCTAGAAATGCAAAGATGTGGCATCAAAACCATGTATGTGGCCTTGAGAAACTTGGTGGGAAGCAGAGGGGGAATAAGCACAAAAGCAAATAAATACAAAGTGAAAAGTGACAAAATACAAGGCCAGGTACAGTGGCTCACCAGCCTGGTCAACATAGTGAAACCCTTTCTCTACTAAAAATATTTAAAAATTAGCTGGGCATGGTAGCGGGTGCCTGTAATCCCACTATTCGGGTGGCTGCGGCAGGAGAATCACTTGAACCTGGGAGCCACCGTGGAGGCTGCAGTGAGCAGAGATCAAGCCATTGCACTTCAGCCTGGGTGACAAGAGCAAAACTCCATCTCAAAAAAAAAAAGTGACAAAATATGGAGGTGTTATGTAAACAAAGGAAAAGGCTCATCCTAGGTGTCAAATTCAAATCGATCTTAGGTGTCAAAAGTAACGAAATCTAAGCCACATCTTAAAAACTTGCAAGATTTCACCAAGTGGATATTGAACATAAAGAAAAGTAGCAGGCCAAGAGCCTCTCTGCACTGTCCCTAGATGATAGCACCCATTCTGTTGATGGTTCCTGGATGTACCCCTCTAGCCATGACCTGCTTAGGCATCTCCTGACTGACTTGTCCTAAATGAACTTTTGATTTGCCTCAGACCTGGTCTTACCAAAGTCTTTTGGCTCAACCTCCAAAATGTACATCAATTGTTTTCATTTTTCTCCACCTCCGCTGCTGTCACCAAGGCCCATCACATCATGCCTCTACCAAGGTAAGAAGTCTCCAACTCGTCTCTCTGCTTCTGCTCTTGGTCCCTGCTATCCATTTCCCACAGAGCAGCCAGAGACATTTTATAAACACAAATCTGTCACTCCTATTTAAAACCAACCAATGGCTCCACAACGCACTCAGAATAAAATCCAACCTCCACTGTGTGCTCCCAGGGCCCAGGAGGATCTGGATCCTGCAGGCCTCACCATCATCACTTCACTTGCCACATGGCCTTCTGTCAGTTCTGAACATGTCAATCTCTCCCCACCCATAAGTCCCATATATTTACAAAGAATAAATTACGAGTCCTGGGGTGGACTGGGGGTATGTATAGGTTATACTTCAAAACACACACAAAATATTTAATAGCTTATATGCTTAAGTATAACATCTCAGAAAAAGATGAAAACATATACATACAAAGATACAGTTACAAGAGACACACGACTATACACAGGCACATTTACAGGTCCTTGTCATAAATGGCAATTTCTGGCATCAATGATTTTACTAGATTTTTATTCCTGGCTAAGTACTTTTTCATACTTTCCCAATAATTTATTGGCTTCCTTTTTCTACAGCAAATAAATGCCCTCTGCCCCAAGCTTAAGATAGAATGTCTACAACAGAACTCAGATGGCAAATGGTTGGTGAGACCAATGGACTACTGATGCACTATACATGTGAGCTAATCAGCAATGGTAGCCTAATGAATTCTGTAACAATAGTCTGCATCATTAATTAAATAGAAACCAGGAAGACATCAGCAGGAGGAAAGTCAAGTACAAGGAGGCAAGAACTAGGGAAAAGGTGGCATGTCTACAACTGTGCTGTCCCGTATGGTAGCCCCTAGCCACACTTAAAATATAGGTGAATTAAAATGAAGTAAAATTAAAAATCAGTTTCTCACTCACACTAGTCACAACTAAAGTGCTCAAAAGCCACATGTGGCTAGTAGCTATCACACAAGACAGCAAAGATATAGAAAACAGGTATTGGTTTTGTGGGCCCCAAGGTCTCTGTCACAATATTCAATTCTGCTGATACAATGCAAAATCAGCTGTACAACATGTACAAAAATGAGCATGGGTGTGTTCCAGTAAAATTACTTATGAATAATAAAATTTGAGTTTCATATAATTTTCATGTGTCATGAAATATTCTCTTGATTTTTCTTCAATCACTTAAAAATGCAAAAACATCATTCTTCACTCATGAGCAGCACAAAATGAAGCAATGCGCTGGATTTAGTTTGTGGGCTATAGTTTGCAAATTACTGATACAGAAATTTCCCTCACCAAAGTTAGTTCTATCGTACTATGTTGGTCTAGGGGGAAAATTAAAGCAAGAAGAAAAGACTTTGTGGCAGGGCCAGAAAGCAT